GAAAGATGGACGTTTTGGCAGATGCCCCTAACAATCTGACGATATCAAAGGTTTCCATTTGCTGTATTTTAATCAATTCGACCAAACTGACATTTCCATGAAATTAATTAATTAATCTTGGTTGAATTGTTTGGCATATTACCATAATATTGGCAAACTTTACCTTTGCCCAGTCAGACACATGCCACATAGGACTACACAGGGCCTGGTTCTGACATGGCCGAGAACTATCTGGCTTCCTTGCAGCATCACAGAGGTCTTCATCCTGGTGCTTGCCTGTCTTATCTACACACATCACCTCTCTGGACTGCATGCCCATACCACAGTCCCCTTCACACTGGAATATTACAGGCACAATTCTCCTCACCATTTACTTAATAATTAAAATCAGAGTTTGTTGTCTTTGTAGAATTTGCCTTGATTTTGCATACACAACACCACCTTAGTTCTAAAATTTCTCTAAAATGGGAAAGTTGTTAAATGCGAGATATGAGGCCTGGTAAACATGATTTTATGAGCTATCAGGTATTACATTGCAAGCTCTGTACTTTCCAAGGGAATACATGATTGTTGGCAAGGTTCATTACCAAATACAATATAAATGTTACATTGTATTTTCTAATATTTTTAGGACAGATTATTTCCTTAAGATGTTTCTAGAATAATAATAATAATAATAATAATAATAATAATAATAATAATAATAATAATAATAATAATAACCTGAGACCACTCAGACACTGCCCACTCTACTCCCTCACAAGGCACTTGATAACATGCCTCTGTCGTGTTCGGACGTGCAGACTCGTTGCACATGTTGTCGGGAAGCATGCTGCTGACTGCACCAGGGATGGCATGCTGTGCCACACATACCACCTGTCTTGTCTTCTGGCCCTCACCACACACTGTGTTACACTAATATAGAAGCAGAATTGAGAAAATCTACTTCAGATTTATTAAAATAACTTAACATTATTATTTTGTATTGCAGAGCATCTCTTATGTACTTTATACAATCTGGTTTTACTACCAAAATGTTACAGTAACACATTATTTTTTTCTAGTAACAAAATATAATCCTTACTATTTCTTTACAAAAAACAACAAAGTTTATCAAACTTTTGTTGGCTAACAATGTAGAAAATGATATAGAAATCACAATCTTGCCTAAAAACCACATGAAGGAATTACCCACCAAAGACCACTCGCCAATCTGCCATGTTGGACAAGGGATATCAGTATTGCACTGCCTTTGATAGGAGGGTCTTCGTCCCACTGACTCATAGCACCTTTTGTCATCTAGCACCACGGGGAGATTATCCCCATCTTCATCCACCATCTGACAAAATACATTACGGAACTGGTATCCCCCATCACATGTCTGAGTACAGGGATTCCATTGACCTACATGCCACCTGAAGGAATATGATCAGTGTAAATTATGCTAAAATCTCACGATTGGAAAATGGTAAAAAAAGGAAGGTACTCAAACTTATGGAAAACATGTGAAACGAACAGCCGTATCCATTAGAAACATGAAAAGACCATACTGTGATAGCAACAGATTTGACTTCTGAAGTTCAAAAAATGGAATATGATGAGACTGCACTTGTAGTTATAATACAGATTTTCTTGTGTTATGATGATCTTACCTTGAAGGACATCATAAATGTTACATATTATCTTGGTGTCCAGTAGATATCAACGTGCAGAAAGTAAAATGACTAAAATGTGTTAGTTGTGACATCAAAGATTGTGTTAGTTGTGACCATTGAAATTGTGTAAGTTGTGGTATTAAATACTGTGTTGGTTGTGATGGTTATACCTTGATGGACATCGTTGTGTATTACATGTTCTGTTCACCACTGGCTGCTCTATGAAGGAACACAAGTAGGGTGGGACCAGTTCTCGACTAGTAATCTTATGGCAAGTTGCATTCCGTAATTGATATCCTGCAAAGCAATACTAAATTGAATTAAAAAGGAAAAAACAAATAATTACAAAACACAAAACTCAACAGTATTCAGTTGCAGCATGTCTTGGACATAAATAATGTTTGGAAATAAGGACTTTATAAATCATGATTCTGGACATAAAGTAGTCAGTATCAACATAAAAAACCACAAACAGACCATACCTGTGTCACATTTCTTTGAACATTCTCCCCACTCTCCAGTTCCCCAGGTGTATTCCCCGGTGACTCCTGTACTCTTGGCTCCCATTGGAACTGAGTACTCATATTTGATGCTGGCCTTATAACCTTGGTACAATAACTAAATCAAAGTACAGTAAAGGATTTTTTATAAATGAATTTTTATGAAAAATGGCTAATAATTAGCCAATAAAAGTTTGAATTTAATATCCTTGAATACCCCTTTAGATTCTGTGGTGGCTTTCAAGCAAAAGATGGTTGTAACTGAACTTATAAAGAGTTTTAAAAACTTGCAATAATGAAGCTTTATTTAAAAAAAAAATCAACAGAGTATATATGCTCAAACTTACCACAATATAAACTGGTTCAGTTGTAGGTCCCAGTGCAGACAAAGATTCTGGAGCCTGGAAGTAGTGTGGTTGTCTTTTATAACTGAACACAGTGCCAGCAACCTGGAGGTCCTTGGGGAAGTCTATCCTGTGCCCAGCATTTAAATAATAGGAGCCTGATTTGTTTCTCAGGGCTGGAAAAGTTGAAAAAGTTAATCTTACAAATCATGCATAAAGATGCTTTGATGACATACAAATAATTCGATTACAAACAATGACAAATTTCATTAAATTCTGAGGAAATTTGCTTCTTCTCTTCTACTTGCCAAATAAAAAATGCTGTAATAAATAAAGATAAGTATTTGAAAATTTAATCATATCTCACATAAACAATAAACAAAGTGCATTGAGAAACATTGGCAAAAATGCATAACTAGAACTTAATAGAAACTAATTAAACAAAACTCACAGAGGTAGTTTCCAGTAGGTTCTGTCTCTTCTATCAGCACATTGGTTGACCCAGCAGGTAGGTAGAGGAAATCATTATAACCTAAAATATGAGACATTTCATTAAGAATACAAGTAAAAGTATCATGATTAAAAAACCTTGATGTAATTGGCATCATTCACTTTTAAATAGCAATACTTCAAAGCAGCCACCATAGCATATTTTTACACTCTAATGGTTTTATACCTTTTATTAATCATACACATGGAAAAATCACAAGCTTGTATTTTAATTCCAACCCTAAAAGTGGTAGTAGTGATGTGTGTTTGGAGAGTGGTTAACTTTTATCAATGTCTTCATTCTCTCTCTCTCTCTCTTTTCAAAGCCATACCAATCCTGATGTTCTCTGTGTGGTAGACTCCCTGGACAGTCTTACAGGTGCTTCCATCTCCTCCACACTCCCTGCATTTGTCTTCACTGATACCAGACTCCAGCATCAAATCACAGCCAACACTCTGAGAATAGATACACATATAAAGATTTATATATATATAATACTGCTTTTTTTCTGCCTAATAACAGTATTTCATATATCATATTAGAAAACAATGTTCTCATATATAAAAGCTATATAATTACTGGTTTTTATTGCATTTACATAAATTAAAAAAATTTAATTAAATTATTTAAAAATTTGAAAAATTTTGATTGTTTAAATTAAAAAAACCATCATGACTACTTTACATGTACTGTCCATATTATTATATACCATATATGAATTTTATGCATAAAGTCACGTACCACATTCAACAGTTACCCAAACACAATACCACATTCAACACACTGTCACACCTAACACAATACCTTGCAGACTCCATCTACACAAACATCCCTTGTGTTGGGTCCGCACTGTGTACCATCTTCTACTTTAGGACGGTGTCGCACATAAAAATTAGCACCCTTAGCAATGCAATTAAGTTCACACTTGTTAGGAGCTGTATGGAAGAAATAAGGCAAGAAAACATTTCTTTAATCATACAAATCATAAACACAAATAAAATCTTGACATACAACATGTTCATCTTTATGGGGTTCTACAAAATTCAATACTTCTAACTGGAAAAATAAATCAAGGTAGTACTGATTATAAATATTTCCTGTGAACCAAATATGCTTAAACTTTATCTTTTTCCTGATTAAGAACTTCAGGAATTTCCTCTTTTGAGAATGATTTACACACTTTTGTACGTTGCATTCCAAAAAGGCTAATTCTTCTGAAGTTACTTACTTGAAACATTTCCTTTCAGGAATAAAAACTGTTTATGGCATCACAATTTTATAATAGGGGAAGACATGGTGCAAATTAAATATATAACATCAGTTATGTTATTACCACTGAAAATATTAACCATGTGGAATAAAATACAAGGGTACACTTCATCAACAAAAGACCATTTTTGCAATAGTCATAGAAATCCAGTACAATGGCAAAATGAAAAAAAAAAATTAACATTTTTTCAAACTAGTTTAGGTAAAACCACACAGGCAAGAAAGATTGACCCCAAATTTGTCCCAAGGAGACCCAAAACTGGACAAAATATCGGTTCTCAAAACATGCACATTCCATCCACATTTGAACTGACAGCTCAGAGAGACTTGAGTGTGTTTCAGATAAACCAAACCCACTGCGGGTGCAGTACACACTTCATAGATGTCTCAATAAAACAAAACTCTCAACTCTAAACTGTCAAAATAAAATAAGATTGTTCCCAAGCTGCCAAAGTAAGTTTTATTTCAAACTGCAGATTGAGAAGAAAATAGCTGTCACAATAAACTGTAAAGAGGAAATTGTTTGTGATTGCACATTAGACTGGAAAGTTTCTAAAAACAGTTCTCTGGCATCAAATTAAAAATGTCTCTTCTTTTAAAGATGCATACAAAGTCAATTTTTTGTCAAAAAACCAACCAAATGCCAGCATATAGATTCAAGTAGTATAACTAAGAGAATTACCAAAAGGCATTGTTTAATTTTACCCGAAAATGATGTTTGAACAGATTTTTCTGCTGGCATTCTAAGCTGTATGTCAATGGGGCAGGAAAGTAGGTCACGAATGTAGGTTAAATTTACAACCATAAATTTAAAGAAAGGAGCAGTCTGAAGGTCTTTTATGGCTGATCGAGTGATCTATTCAGTTTATCCCTTGGCATGTCGAATTTATTTGAGTCATATAAGAATCTAGTAGAAGTGGTTTACATGTGTTACTGGGAATCCACTCTCCACCAATGCTCGGTTCGTATGTACCTTTAAATAAAGAGACACAAAAAGGGAAAAAATCAACAACCAGCAAATGATTTTCTTATAATATAAATATTAACTTTTTTTGCAATTAAAGCAAAATCTGAAGGGTTTGCTTACCACCATAATAAGGCTCCCATTGATAGTATTTCCCCTCAAAAGGAACATTATCATAAACCTCACACTGCTCTAGTCTGTAATCCCGCGAGGATTCCGGGCAGTCCTGAAATGGCAGGTTAAACTGTAATAAATTAAGCCAATGCACTTGTTCTTCTGATATTCAAAATCAAAACATAATATATCACCAAATGTCCTGAAATACCCTGAATAATTGGTATTTTGAAATAAATCAAAGGAATTTAGCAAAATGTGTTTTATCAGACCTCACATATAGAGCTTAAAAAGGATGTCCTGAAACATTCAGGTCAAAATTGTGATATATTAGCGTGTTTTTTTCAGTTCATGATTTTTCAACTTAATAATGTTAATTTTGGGGCAAGACAGTATACATTCTCTTGCATATTAAAGTCATTTGGTATAAAATTAATCACATTAAGTCAAAGAAGAACAATCTGAGATATGAATTTTAAATGATACATCATATGGGGATTTGAAAAGGCTTTACCAGGTAATGAAATAAGATAATATGTGCCTTGTATAATATAATTCCACTTGTGTGTGTGTTTTTTCCATATTTATAGTAACACAACAATTATTTTCGAAGAGAGTAGTGAGCCACATCTAACACAATCAATTTCAGTTTACTCAATTTATAACAGAGAGGAAAATGAAAAAGAGAATTTCAGAGATGGGGGGGGGGGGGCGGGAAGTTGCATCTACTTTATATACTATTACAGTCTAAGACCGCATTCACATCGAGTTGAGCCATGGATCTACAAAGTCAGGATCTAAATATGGCGGACGTACATGAAAGGAAAACCGCGTAATCTTTTAATAGTCTCCCCACCTCTCACACGCCTCCCCATGTGTCGTCCCAACGGAGCCGAGATTTAATTACTGTACCCCCGCAGAGAACGCATGGGGAGGCGTGTGAGAGGCAAAGAGACTATTAAAAGATTATGCGGTTTTCCTTTCATGTACGTCCGCCATATTTAGATCCTGACTTTGTAGATCCATGGCTCAACTCGATGTGAATGCGGTCTAAGAGAGAGAGAGCCATGCCCAGTCATTGTTATGGACACTGAGGCAGGGGTGCAATAAGCTTTTTATTTTCCATCAAAAGTTCTATTTACACTACACATTATGAATATGAAAGTTCTTTGAAGTTAGTTGCCACAAGGTTCAAAAGTTCTCCCGACTCCACCTTCTGCCCCCTCCAATTTGTTTGAAAATGTATTGGACCTCATCACACCCACCTCCACTTTGTAACTCTTTTCAAATGTCAATTCCAATTTAACTTTTATATTAACACTGTCAATCATATTTGGTAGCTCATGAAGTAAAAATGGAATGGCCTCACAACTGTTCTGGTACTGTAAATTCCGAGAATGCTTTCAGTTAACATTTTAAACACAAGTTAAACAAGTTAATTTATAGATAATTTTCCACATCACACTGATGCACGTCTTCAGCTCTTGTAAGAGGTTGTTGAAAAAATATCTTGATCAAACCCTGTTTTGACAATTCCATGGACCAGTCTACTTTGTCCAAATGTAAAGAAAACCAAATTCTAGGAATATTTATTATCATAGCAAATATTTTTCTTCATGTCTATTTCATTACCCTGTCTTCTTCTCTTCCTCTTATACTACTTCTGTACTTCAGACTGCGGCAAAATATTTGAAACACCAAATGGCCAGACACAATAGATATCTTTATTATGAACCCATTAAACAAAGTGATTGTTTCCTTTAGTCAGAACCCTCATCCTTGACATCTGTGACCAGTTATGCAAACAATTTCCACTCAGTAGAGTCAAAGATGAAAGAGACTGGAACAAAATAAAAGCGAACCAGAAATAGCATATAAACTTGATCCTAAGAACCAGGGATAGTTTTTCAAATGTTAAAGAAATTTGTAAATCAGGACCTATGCAGAACCAAGTTTATCCCCAGACTAACTGATCGGTGGATCAAATATGGCTTGCACTTGACAATGGATTCCCTGCCTCCCACACACGCACTCCCTGCAGGAGCAGAGCAATTAAATCTGAGCATGGTTTCATGTGGGTCGCGCCATATTTGTTCTGCTGCTTAGTTATTCTACAGATCAACTTGGTTCTGAACAGGCCCTTAAACAGTAAAATACTTGCTAATGCTAACAGAGACCAGTGGGTGCTTTAATTGAAATTTCAGACACTGTATATGGACCCTTTCAAATAGTCACCACTCTCATGAAAAAACTTTGAAAGTATGCAGATTGCATAACCTTATGCCACATTCAAAATGTTCACATATTAAGATATCATAAATATTTTGAGTATCACTTACCTTCGTGTTTATTTTGCATGCAATTGTAAAGAATTAATATTTATGTGAGTTGTATTGTGGGATATCAAACTTAAATTGGTAATAAATTTTATATCTCCATTTACAGTCAGTTTACAATTCTTCTTAGAACCACATCACCATAGACAATTTATGAGATGTACCCTTCACATGATTACAACTGCCCAAATTTTACCTTTAACTGCTGGTATTTTGCTCATGGTGAGCAATTTGAAATACTTAAATAAAATCCATTATGCTTCTATTTAAAACACATTGCATCTGATAAAATTTAACATGCAATAAAACAGTAACTTGAATTATTCATTTCAGATCTACATGGGTGGGCTGTGGCATAGTTCAATAACTACTGTCCACTCTTTGAACTTTAGAAGTTGAATGTCCCTAGTTGAAGGTGTAATACTACTCCATGAATGGGGGTAAAAAACACCCTATGGGGGGATTAAGATTTCAGTGGATTATTAACTCTGTGACCCACCACTATGTTCAACAAAGAGAGCAAATGTGTGGGATGAAAAACATGGTGGCTACTTTACAAAACACTCTGGAAATTACCATTTGTACTTTTCAACCCAGTCATTTTAGCTGTTTTCATTTTCTTATGCTAAGGGCTGATATGTCAACAAACAGAAAGCTTCTTTCACTGAATATTTTAGACATTTTTCTAATTACAAAGAGGCCATTAGTTCAGTAAGCACCATGTTTATAAAATACCAATTTCTCTAATTTAGACGGCCTCTAAAAACAAACCCAACTGTTTTCAAATAAAATGTTTACTAAACTTTAAAAGAATCCTTAAAGAATAGTTATGACTATTCGAACTTTTACCAAGTCCTTTTATGCAATGATCAGTCATACACGACACAAAATGGTGAAAAAGAAAAAACTATCACTGTTGGTATTAAGAACATCCCATGAAACACACCAGCACATAAAAACACATTCTGAGAGCTATGCCATATGTTACTGATATGCCTGTGCACTGTGCTTTTTCATTTAATGACGGACCAATATAACTGTTTGATATCGAATATAACTGTTTGAAATGAAAGCCATTTTTGATGACAAACCATATGGCTATCAATTATCACTCTCTCTTTCTTCGTCACTCACTCACACACACACACACACACACACTGAATGGGGCTACCAACCATATAACCAAATCTAAATTGTTTAAAATGGCACTTAACTGAAATGCCCTGTACAAAAGTGATAAAACTGATTCACCTTTCATTAAAACTAACAATGAAGTCAAATGCCCTTGACCAACTATTTAATCTTTATAATGGGCAGATTTCAAGTACTCATTTTAGGACCACACAGCTTGCTCAAGTGTTTCAAGATTACTTAATCTGCAGGACACCTTAATAGAAGGAGAAAATACAACAGAAGGCTTTTAATGCTACAGTAATGCAACCTCTCAAGCTGAGGATTTACACAATTTGCAGACTAAAATTTTTCACCTGTAAAAAGTCCCACGTATAATGCCCAAAAAAAGCTCAGCTTATAAAACTAATGATATAAATACTTAAATTTTGATATATATTTTTTCCTCTTCTCTTCTAATTATATGTTCTTCATAGTTATTTGTCTTCCATTAACCACATACTTTTTTCTCTGCAGATACTTTATTTCTAACTTGTCTCACACAACAGGCCACCTGCCAGTGCCAGGGCAATCACCCACAACTTTCAAATGCCACATTAGGGAGAAATACCACTTAGACATTGACATGTATCCTCATCAGTACCATGCTGATAAGCCTCCTGAAACTATGATACAGTCTTAAAGACTTCCATTCTGCCAAATGTCACCCAAAACTGACAATTTCCTAACACGTCCCTGAAATGTTTGAAATGACCCCTGACCCAGAAGTGTCGCCCACAACTGTGACATGCTACTTAGACCTTCCATTCTGCAGTCCTATGTCCCCAAAACTGACAAAATTTCTCAAGATGTTGCTAGAATATTTCATGAGGGCCTTGACCCCTACCTACCACTGACAATGGTGACACACCTTTTCCTAAAATCAAACAAACAAACAAACACATCCCAATAGCCACAACAGTTTAGATTTTGACATGTGCCCCCAGACAGAATTTGATTTTTTAAATGCAGCCTGATCTGTCAATGCCAATCTAGTCACCCAGAACTGCAGCAGACAATGTACCATGTGCAGTCGGCTAGCTCCTACCCCGTGTAACGTAACACCTGCAGGAGACCTTAGCTGAGATCCACATGTGTTTCACTCGACAGGTGTTTGTCATCAAACTTATTTAAATGTAATCATGTAATTATACATTTCAGTAGACGTTTATATATCATTGTGCTGTTAAAGGGGTTTTGTTTTTATCAATAATTTTTCTGGGGGCTGCATGACTATTATCATGGTAAGAAAAAAATCATTTTAAAATTGGTGGGCTAACAGCGTCTTAAATTGCCTTCACACATCACTTGTTCAACTAAAGAATTACAAATTTCCATTAAAAGTATCAGCATAAGATGGTATCTTAAAATAAATCAGAGAAACTTAATAGTGTGAAAGATGGAGCAGCATGTAAGATTCAAGAAAAAAAGCATAGCAAGGCTGATATCAAAACTGTCAACATCAACTCTGATAAGTGTAATATTGAAAAAAAATATATACATATGATTCAAGTCTTTGTATAGAAAAAATGTATACTGAATAGAGTGAAAAAAGTATCAGGAACGCACCAGAGATATCCTGGGGAAATTAATGCAATTTAACATTCTCTGGTGACTTTATCAGTCAAATAAACATGATAAATGACAGGAGTCATGACACATATATATATACAAAAAATCAGCATGAAATGAACCAGCATAGTATTTGATATCAATTTAAGATAATAAAAAATATTTTGTTTCCTATCAGTGGTTAAACATTCAATCCCTGACCTGGGAATAACTTCGGTTGTCTGGTGACATGTTAGAAGTCAAGTTTCCAGACCACATGAATCCATCGAACCTGCACAATCCATCTTTGCATTGCCATTAGCCAATTAGAGAAAACCAGTCAACAGTCAAATAGCACACAACTTACCTCAGTCACAATGGCAGTGATCACAACAAGTGAGAGATCCAACTGACTGTTTGTGGTAAGCTAATCTTAATCAATTTACCCCCTTTGATGAGTGGTACCTTCATAGGTCGATCAAACTTAAATGAAAACCTGACTTTACCTCAGAAGCGGTTTCAGATAACAACCTTTCTGAACTTAATAGACACCTGTCCCAAAGTTATAAAAACTGAAAGAAAAAATACTATGCCTTCTCGTTGCACTGGTTGGGACTTCATGCAAGACATGTAAGTACACAGTTTGCAATGAGAAACTGCCCAATTATTATCTTTTACCTCTTACCTGTATATTACAAGCCATGTATATTTTATTTGGACCAACACAGTCACTGTTGTCATCTTCCCTGTAACATTAAGAAAAACAGCATAAAGCGTGTTTTCAATGGACATTTTTCTATACAGATGTGACCCATTTAATATCATCTGGAAGCTGGCAGTTGGCATGTTTGTTTTAACTTTTCTAACCTGTTTCTCGAACAGAAACACTGTTACAACTCACATATTAATATAAGTCAGACACAGCAAAAAGTAAAAGCAAAAATCATACAGGCATGGACGTTTAAAATGTACAACAAAATCCCTGTGGAGTTATTCAATTAATCTATCTATCAATCAATCAACCAACCAATCTTTCTGGCTTAGTCAGATGGTCATCAATCCAGGCATGATCAATAATTGTTCGGTCAATTAATCAATCACTTAGCCTACCATGTCAATCAGTTAGTCATTATCAGTTGATCGATCAGAAATAAAACAACAAAATCAATCAAATAAGCAAATGTTCAAACATTAAACAAAACAATTAAAAAATCTAAATAATACCTTTAAAAAAACTTTCTCATAAGTTTTGACTCACCCTGTATGTAAACAAACTCTTTCCTGGAATGCCACTCCAAGTCCACAACTTCTGGAGCACTCACTACTTTCCTCCCAAGGTCCCCAGGTAGCTCTGGCCTCTATACCTCCAGGGAACTGGAATCAAATCAATATATTCAACTTAAAATATGCACCTTACATGTGTTAAAATTTTTTGGTATAAGAAGGTTGCAGCATATTTTGAAATGGTAACTGCATAGCTTAATGAATAAGCATAAAAAATATACAACCAAAATTTCTGATAAGGTGTAACTTAAAGTTTTTTTCCCAGAATCATAATATCTTACAATTATTTGTTTCTCCATAATTTTTTCTCTCCATTTTCTTATCCCCCCTTCCTTTTCCATATCCCTTATCCCCATCCCCTTAACCCCTTCCTGATAACTGCTTTAATATAAGATGCCAAATACATTTGCCAACTTGGAATTTAACCAAAGTATAAGAGGGCATGGATTCAGTGAATAAATTTTGATTCAAAATCTCAAATATTGCCAGCCAATAATCCACGATAATATCAATGAGACAAAATAATTGGTATTTCCTCTCATATATCTGATAAGACCTATGCAAAAAGTTGTGACAACTATTTAATTTACATCAGATTTGATTGACAGACAGAGGTCAATAGGTCTCTTAACATGAAAGCCCAAGTGAAATTAAAATTCTTGTTTTCGCAGTGGGCCCTTAACCAAAATCAAAGGCTGCTCTTGAGAAATCAAAGCCTGTTTCAGTTAAGGGTCTGTTGATTTGGACAATGGATCTTATTAATACTGGCAATATTGGGGGCGGTGCAGACAATGTCTACATTGAAGGAGTCAGGAAACTCTCCCAGCAGATCTTGATCTGTTCATCTGTATGTTTTCTCTAACAGCGGTCACATTATTGTAATGGACAACAAATCCAGAGTCATGTTTCATCACACATCCCTGCATAAACCTATTCCACTGGCCAAGGGGAGACCAAGGAAAGCTCTTATTAGCCTAATAAGAGTTACGCGGATTACTGACCTGTATACTCAGTGCAAAATAAGATTAAGTTATACATATATTTTTTATTAAAAAGTTTTTTTAATAGGCACTAATTCAATTGACATATTTCATTAAAAAGATTACATTTCTCACAAAAGGGTAAGATTCCTCAAAAATTAATACAACATTTTGTTCATTAAATTAATTTTTAAAAAGTGTATTTATCAGTAATACATTCTTCATAATATCTTGATAATTATGAAACAAACATTTTCAATTTAATAATTTTAACTTTATTTGCTTTGTTTTTTATAGCATGTTGGCAGCTTCATAAACTAATAAATGCCCCGCAATGACGATAGGTACAGGAAACATTAAGATGAGATTTGTGACCTTACTTAGGCTAAGAAACCAATTCTCTTATATATATATATATATATATATATATATATATATATATATATATATATATATATATATATATATATGACCTTGATTACAATAAATAAGAGGCATAGCAATACTTGATTCAATCTCGACAACTCCCATGTAAAACTGTTCTATATCTGAAGAGTCTGGGGAGGTTATTTTAGGTTAATGGGCGACCAAACGAACACCTCATGTTTCTCTAAGAACCTACTGAGTGGGAAAATAAAAACCGTATGATGTTGCGTTTTTTTAGACAAAATTTCATTATCACACAGTTAAATATGCTTCACAGTGCACTGTGCAGTGTTGATAAGTTAATGGAGTTAACATTACAAAAAAATTTTCAAAGTCACTATTTTCTAACATGATTTCATAACTGCAACTTTTTAGTTTATATTGTTTATATCATGTTTTTGTAAACAGTTTTCACTAAATTGAAAATATATCTTTTCTTTTTTCTTTCACAAAACATCATGCACCCAGCATTTGGCAAAGTAAAAGCTAGTATCAACAAACATCAGAAACAGATTTTTTTTTTACAATTCTGGAACCTCTGGAAGAAACAGGCCAGGGTAAAAATAAAATTGGCTTTGCTTGACTTGGCATGTTTGCATGTACACATCCCTGAATAAAAACAATCACCAGTAAACCAATCACATTTGTCTCAGCCAAAACACCTGTTTTAAAAAGCAGCAAGGTAATCACTTTGAAATTTACTTTTGTGGAAAAAACAAGCCTCACTCCAAAGTAGGAATTTATTTTCTACAACAATAGAGCAAATCTTCAAATCTGAATTCTGTCTGTGAAAGAAGCCACAAAAGCTATTGATTTTGACACTTGGTTGTTGTTGGATATTTTTTTCCTAGAAATTTTGCATGCTTGATGGTGTAATTATCTACCAGCAATTAAGTGTTCATTTCCTTTTGGCCAATGACTAGGCAATTTTGCAGCTAGATGACTGGAGCTTGCTCTCTAGTAAACAAAAGATTGCTGGAGAGCAAGCTCTTCAGTAAACAAAAGAAGTCAACATCTAGTCATCTAGCTGCAAAAGTCCTCTTGAACTCCTTCCTTCTGGGCTTAAAACTCTCGATTTTGGACAATAAATTTAAAACATAGATATCTTACTACATGCATACTAGTTCTGTCAATTAGTGAGCAGTAAGGTGGAAATTTTAAACCAAGGAATCCTCTTGTTTTGGATGAAAACACTCAAAGTAGTCAACAAACACTTAAGACAATAATCATTTTCCTGGTGAGTAACACCTGCCAACAACTGCTGACCACTGGTCAACAGGTTTTGGTTTGTCTAGTTACTCATGCACCACCAGCTGTGATTCAGTAGATAAAGATGGGCTCAAATTTTATTTGTTTATAGGACTTCCTACACTGAAGTAGAGCCTAGCTGGTAAATATAGCCGTATTAGGCATTTTGTAGGAAGGGAATGAAAAAGTTCAATGCATACTTTATGCACTGTCAGGTACAGTTGGTGGCACAATTAACTTTTTATATTGCAATTAATCATGGCAACCAGAGGCAAACCACCATCATGCATGGTGACCATAATGAAATTGCTCCAATGTGTCCACTTTTGGAAACAGTGGGAGATGACCACTCCAAGTGGGCACAACTGAAGATGACCACCCACTGACACTGGCTTCCCATCACTGATCAGTGTTTATTGATGAGTAAGGTACCACTTCAGCATGGTTTGTTTTTAGTTAGAGAAAGAGAAGTACTGGGCTGGAATAAAATACAATCCATGTGTTCTTATCAATGAGTCAATGCAGGAGATATAAGCAAACTGGACAAGTAAATATGTTGTAATCATGTAAGTGTTCTTCAGTGGCAAAAAAAAAAAAAAAAAAAAAAAAAGACCAAGGTACTTAAAACGAAAAATAAAAATGGGGGTAGCATTTTGCAGTCTACCCTTTACCTCACATTGAGGTTAATTGATTGGCGGAAATGTTGAGAAAACCACAAACGGACAAGACTGCTCTGCAGTGGGCTGAATACAGCCTGCAGAGCTAGCAGATGTGAGTTGACATGGGTCATTGAAAACACAAGATGTTAAATATCCCATAAGCACTATACACACTGTAAAATAATTACAAAGACCAAATACAGCATGTTCCATAAAATTCCAAAACATCTTAGCATCTAAACCTATAAAACCTATTTTCTGCTGAACAGGATTTTAACAACACAAATTTCACTGACAATGGAGACTTTGACAGTAACAAAATGCCATGTAGTTTATAAAGGCCAATAAAGCAAATCACATTCTACAGAATAAAGCATTCAATTGCATGTGTTCCATTTGATGGTTCATTTATAAACAAGAATGCCTCAGTGGCAAGGTTACACATATATTTGAGGAAATTTGGTAGATGTCCTGTACTGGGAGCCATATCACTAAAGTTTTTTTCTAAGAAAAACCTCCTTAAAGCCATTTCCAGTCATGTAGGGATGACTTAATGGAAAACTGTTTGCATTTGATTTTTTCCCAAAGTTTGAAATTTCCTAAATCATTACAACAAAAAAGCAATAATTCATGACTAGGTGTAAAGGGATACTTTTATCTTGGTACAATTCATTTTACCAGCTAATCTCATTATATGATACTTATAAAACCAATGACGATTCATTTACATCCCACTGACTATGGTAAAGTTGAGAATTTTACTGAAAACAGAGGTGTGTGTGTGTGTGTGTGTGTGTGTGTGTGTGTGTGTGTGAGCAAGCCCCTTCCCCATGCCTGTGTGTACAACTCTCTATTATTCTTGAGGTAAACAGAATCCACCTTTCATAAAACAATCAAATTATCATCAGAGAAATTCAACAGACAGATACTAGTATTTATTTTCTCTGACACCCATACAAAGTCTCACAGGAATTCCTCAGATTAGAGCAAGGTGCTAGAATTCTAACTTAATCAGTGGATAAGGCATTCTTTTCTGCATGACTCATTTCAGAGGAAATACTTGCAAACTTGTACAGCTAAAAAAGCTTCTGGAGGAACCAAAGAAGACAACCAAGCATGTATTGTTTCCATTCTGGTGAATGATTGAGTTGTAAAGCGGAAATTATTTTCTTCCTCAGGCTGCTGATTGCACAAAAATTCTTTTTTTATTTGCCAAGAAGCTGCTTTTATTTTTTTTCACAATAAAATGTGTAAAAAAACCTAATTATCTTATAAAAGTGAAAGAGCACCTTTTACAATGAATTATTTGAGGTCGAATGCACGAACAGACATTTTTATTCATATGTAGTACCCTATCAACTGTCTCCCCCAAAACCAGAAATAACATTTAAATGGAGTTCAATCCAATGAATATTCCACTTATCAATTAAATTTTACACCCAATAACATTTCTAATTGTCCAATAGTACATTAAATACCCTAGAAAACAATAAAATTAACCACACTAAATGTATTACCAAGTTTTATCACTGAGCTTATAAGGGCAAAATAAAATACTTGGTGACAAGAGTAATAAGATTTCCCCAGTAATGGGTTCATACAGTATTTACAACTTAGTACTCTACAGCTCTTTCACACTTGTTGCAGGACAATCTCTCTTCAGCAGGAACACACAGAATAAGAAGTTATTTAAACACTTCTGTTACTTGCGCCTTTTGCGATAACCGAAATATATCTTAGAATCCTCTTACAGCAGTTGTATTGTTTGTATGTATGTGTTATAGAAAGGGGGCAGCTCAAAATATAATTTTTGTGGATTGCACCAAATCCAAAGTATGACATTTACAAAGCTTATGAGTTTTATCAATTTTGGAGAAAATCTTGCTATATTTTAAGTTCTAAGTTATTATAAGTTATAATTTTGCTCAATGGAAATACTCACTACCATTATAAAAAGAAACATGAAATATATATGTACAGTATGATTAATATTTGTACAAACTGCTTGCAAGAGCTGGAATTTAAATAAATCTAATAATAATAGAATTGTCATTTTGGCTAAAAGATCCCAAGAATCCATTTTCTGAATCAAAGTTTGAATGGAGAATTAAACATTTTGCCAGAGTGCCCACCCCTGAACTCATCTGTTCACTCCATGACAAGCAAATGCATGTGTGAGACACATGGTAAATGTCTTCTATAATGTCAGCATTGTACTTTTTCCAGCCAAAACCTTACACATATGTATTTACCATTACGTCTATTAGACAGTCACTGAAACATACTGTACTCTTTGAGTTATGGAATGGACCTTATGGCCCAGTTTACACATAGCCCTTTTTCAACCGGATTTGGTTTAACTTGCTCTTACATATCCGAGTTAGTTTATCAGTTGGTTTATTTTACTAAATATTATGCACAAGGGTCCCTGGCATCTTATGACCAAAGTTGGACCTGGCATGGGCTGTCATTATCTGAACATGTCCTTTGTTCCGCCGTTAAGAGCCAGACAGGGACATGCAGGCACACAACCAGAAGGTTGGTGGTAGTGGTGGTGGTGGTGGTGGTGGTGGTTGGGGGGGGGGGGAGAATGGAAGGTAGCATTTCTGACCCAGGATTATATATACACAATGAAACCAAATTTGAGATCAAACATGTTCTGTTGCTCCAAATACAAGCAAAGACTGCTATAATTAGGTTCAAATTAACCAGTGGTTATTTGAGATTCCCTAGATGTTCTCTAACAGAAGAGATTTGAGATCTCTTAAAGTGCTGTGTAAACAGGAGAGTGACAGAGGGGTCAATTTAACTGTGTGAAACAAAATGTCACTTGTCACTCTCTGCTGAATCAAACTCTCTGAAATCAACCATATATCTTTCACCCTGAAATGAATATCCACAAGTAAGACAAACATGTTTTAAAGAGGCAATTTAGAGCCCATATGTTGTCTTTTTTAGTAATGTCTTAGTTTTCTTAAACATTCTTTAAATGATTATGTTACAGATGTACTGTACATAAAGAGTATATTTCTGTAGTTCTCTGAATGAAGTGATATCTGATTGTACTAAGTTATAAAACTTAAACAATGCCAGTCACTACACCAATACATATTAATGAAAAAATCCTATCACTAATAGTTATACTATCAAAGTAATTAATAGTATTAGAGAAATGTCAATTGCCTTCCCCTTGTTATAATTATCAATACACCACAATGCAAAGATTTGTACTCCCACACCTTTTGAAGAAACTTCAAATGTATGTATAGTATTTTATGAATAGATACAACTTGATGGATGATTTGCAGGACTGATTAAAAATATATACTTTAGGTTAATCATGTCATTGTGAAAGAAGGTGCAGTTCTTTCATTAAATCCAATACTACTAAAGATTCCTAAAAGACAATAGACAATACATTAAAAGCAAAGTACGTAATTCATCCATTGAAAGAAAAGAATCAAACATATTAAAACACAATCACTTACTGTGTTTATGACAGCTAGAATACCCGTACTCCACACCAGTAGAGGAGACAGCCATCCACGGCTGGGGCTGAACATTATGGATGTCTCTCTGAAAACAAGAAATGGAAAATAGTTCAATTTTTATACACAAGAAAATGTGTAGGAAATATAACATTAAAAATATGGGAGTTTCCGTGCAAGTTTTGATGGCTCTGAGTCATTTACAATGTATAAATTGATACCAAAAACTTACAATACTTGCTGTTATCAAATGCTCCAGAACTTTTTCTTCAGTATTATACAGCAAGAGAGATCCTGAGCAATCAAAAGCCAGCTACCTTATGGCATTTCTACACTTATCTAAATGTATTTCATTAATCACACTCCAACCAACCCCTGTTTCTCATTTTTAATCTTAATTAAAATTGTGCAATCGACTTTCTACAACAGTGGTCAGCATAATTGGATATGAAACCCTTAGCTGACCCCTCCTTCTAGGAATCTGGATTTTGACAAAATCTGATACTTCAAAAGAACTTGGTTTATATCATGCTCAATTTGTGTTATTATTCAATAATCATGTTGGTCATTGTTATATCTGGGTATTTTCTTTTCCAAACCAGAAACATCCGCCAATGAAATCTCCCTTTTCTATACAAAATTAAGTCCAAGAACTTAAATACTCCAAGTTTAATATATCAATATTATTATCACAAGGGTGCCAAGGTAACATTTTAATTCTATATGAAAAAGATAAAACTGAAGAAAGTTCTTTTCCCACTGGATCAGTATTTACTAAGTACCGTAGCTTCTCCCCAGCTTAACTCATAATCCAATGACATCATTTTCAGTGCAAGAAAACAAGGTTGTCTTGTGGACAATGCAACTAAGAAAAACACTTTGTATATAAAATTAAAATCAAGACCTCTAATATCCCAAACTAATTCATATTTTTTTTTACCATTAAAGCATCATACAAAAATTATGCCTTGGTCATTCATTGACATATTTTGATGTGCCCCACCCACCACCTGTCAGATAATACATAATCCCATGAACTCTTATAGGTTATGTTAATAAAATGGAAAAAAACAGTAAGGAAATCTCTGTGCCCTTGTCACCCCCCCCCCCCCCCCCCCCTCTTCCACTACTTCTCTGAACCAGGACTTATGCTGGACAGAATGCATGAGATATGAGCCAGGAGATATATAAGTAGACTGGCCTGCTGAAAAATACAGCATGTTTTATCCTACAGGAACTTCCTATTCACCTCCAGCAATTATCCACTTTAGACCACGGTGCATCCATCATACACGTGGAAGCCACATGTGAAAGATTGTGGCTATTGAAGATTTATCTGAAGCATGATGTCAGAAAGCAGACATGTACTGATACGCAAAGCATGGACATGCATGCATGCTTGCAAATACACCACAAACCATGCTTTTTATATGCTTTATTCATTGTAGTATACACATCTACATGGGTCGATGAAAATGTACAATAGAAATATAATTAAAAGTAAGTATTAAGTACAATTAGCAATTATTTAATATGACTACTCATGTAAAATACATATATTTGGCAGAGTCCAAGTGACTCTTATATATATATGTACGAAGTAGTTAAATTATGTTTTTTGGTATTTGCTCAATAAATTATTATTATTATTATTGTTATTATTATTATAATATGTGCATGTACACAAAGATTTAAGATAATGCCAGTTTTTTAATGAGCATGACCAACTATTATTCTGTGGAAATAAGTTTTTTAGAACTTTTTTATAAATGGAAAAAATGCAATGAGTATTAGTTTGCTAGTTGGGGGAAAAATTACATTTTACTCATGGAAAATCCTTTAAGCCGTTGAAATTATGCTCTAAAATTGCCAACACAGACATTTCCTCCTTTCAAAAGTAAAACAGGAAAAAATGAGTGTCACTAAAATTTAACTGTTATGCTCTATAAATATAACAGCTTAAATAAAAAACCAACCCAAATTAATACTGTCATCCAATTCTATTTAAAGAGTGTTGCGCTCGTTAATCAACTCATCAATTTTGTCTGGTACTACACATGCATTCACAAGTAAAAAATGTCCTGTTGTTTACAGAACAAAGCCAAAACAACATTGATATGCACATGTATATGAATCAAAATAACCAGAAAACTCACAATATGCCTAAGACACAAAAAACTTTCATATATTATGCCAAAATATACCATTATACATCTACAAAATATAACAAATATACTTTTTCAGTACATTTTATTTTTTTACATTAAAATATCATCAATCCACATCAAAGAAGCACAGAGGCTAGAGCAGGAATGCACCATTTCTTACCCTTACACACGCACACACACACACACGTGACAAGGGGCATGCAGCAGCTTGCGGGCTGGTTTTTTAATCACTGTTTCTGTCGAGAGCAATCATAGCACACCACTTCATTTCCCTTTTCTCTAACCCTGCCTTCTTGATTTATTAAGGGCCATCATTTTGGAATTTGGCCTTCAGAGCAATTTCTTTTTGAGACAGAAAATTCAAGTCTGTTTGATCACACTCCATTTCAGAATACTTGTTGCATGTAAATTGCTATATGGAATTCAGGCCCGTACTCAGCAATTTCAAAAGGGGGGTTCTTTTTCTGAAAAAGTGGGCCTTTTTCCATAAAAACTTAATGTACCTAGATCAAATTTTACCTAGAGTGGACCTTTTTCCAGCAAAAGGGGCGGTTCTTTCGAACCCCCTGAACCCCCCCCTGGCTACGGGCCTGGAATTGTAAGTGAAAGAAATAAGCTTCAGATCTGGAGAGGAACACAGGAGTCTGGGTCTTTCAGACAAGTGTATTTCTTCAGTTGAAAAACTCCCGACTTTTTTTTCACCCAAGTAATTGACACATAAAAAAACACTTGATCATTTTTCTTTCAAAGAAACATATTAACATGAGACCAGTTTGCAAAAATTGCATGTGCAAGAGCAAAGTGCCAGAATTATTCTTATAGTTCAAAATTGGTGGTCCCAATTGGTGGTACCTCCGACAACAGAGGAGGTTACGTTCTCGTTACGGTGTGTGGGTTTGTTTGACTGTGCACAGCATTACACAAAAAGTTTATTCATTAGATTTTCAGGATAGGTTACAAATGGGGCAAAGGCAGAAATGATTACATTGGTGTTGATTAATTAATTAATGATTAATTATTGGTTAATAATTTGTCTTGGAAGAGATTGCACTCTCTGAGTGCTTTTCTAGTCTGGTAATGTTTTCAACAGGTTGACAATATCATTTTTGTTTAGTTTCTTAACCCCATACTTCCATGTAGACCAGCAAACACTGGACCATCTATAATGATTTTGGAATGTTAATCAGTAGGGACACTAAGAGGCAATAAGCCTATCACTCTCCTGAGAAGAAAACAGAAAAATAAACATCCACATGCTGCTCTCAGCAAACTTCTCCATATGCCAAGGATTTTTCTTCCTAGGGTGGGGTTATTTGGTACACTTCTAGAAATAATACCCCATTCTTAAAGGGATAATAACTCTTTGTATGAAATCTGTATTTAACAATAAAAACATTGTGAGTGACTCATAAAAATATAATATATTCTGTTTTCCCACAAAAACGGCTGTTATAGCTATTATTCTGATATCTGAGCTTGTCTTTTGACCACGTGACCTCCATTGATGGCCATACTATGTTAAAATCTCTTAAGAGATTTTAACAAAAAACCAAACTTTTTAGAAAAAAACCAAGGACTAACTTTGAATGTAAAAATGGATTCATTAACCATTGGTAAGTATGGGAAAATTGTTGTTTACTCCAGAAAAATTCATTTTTTGGCCGAAACGAAGAGTTATTATCACTTTAAAGTTTTAAACCTCATAAATGTGGCCAAGGTACATATAACAGTTGATTGTGGTGGTGGATGTCTGAGTATCATTCTACTTTAATTTTACAGCAACTTTTAATTTTATCTAAACCTTTAATTTTATAGTGTTAGAAATGTCACATCGATTTTTTCATTGTAAGGTTACTGTTGAAACAGGCATATCAAAAAGGAAAAATCCAATTATTCCAACCTCATATTTTTTAAAAAGAGATCCAATTTCATAACTTATAATGTCCAATATATACAAACAATGCAGTTAAAATTAGCTTTTAAAAAGTTAACTGTATGTTAAATTTCACTTGGTGCATTTGTACATTTCCTCTTTTATAGACCCAGATCAATGTTTTTATAAGCTAATACCTGTAGAAAGTTTGAGTTATCCTAAAGGTATTTTTAACACAGCAGAAATCAAAAAGAAAGACATTTTCCTTGCTTGACAACATCCTAAGGACATGGTACACAGTTCCTTAGCTTATTATGTCTAACTGAGTGACTGGGAGACACTGTAAAGAAACACCAGATTCATTAAGCATACCAAAGGTAAACACAAAAGTTATTTAAAAGTCGAATATGCACATTTTGATGCTTACTCTGAGAATGTTTTTTCACCCCAGGGCACCAAGGCATGACAAAGCAGAAGTCAACAAAAATGAAAGCAGCACGAAAGCCTTAGCGTGGAAAGTGGCGGAATAACTTTTCTAGTTCATTCCACTGCTCGCACACAACACTCAATATGTACTCGACCTGGGTATTAAACCAAGCAAGGATAAAAAGACGGAAAAGGTCTGCATTTTTCACGATTACAATGATAACAATATGCCGTTGGGAGATGAGAATTAATTGGACAAAAAATTCTTAATGCACGAAGAGATGACAACAACTGCACTGTCCATTGGTGCATCAAATCCTATTTCAATGATGACAACTAGGGTCAAGACAGGAGATCAAAAGATCCACTTTACAGTGACTTTAGTGGGCAGGAAGTCAGCAAAAGCACAAATATATAAATCCTTTACTAACACACTGTACCCACTCAAAAATCCTTGCAGATCTACTTCTAACCATGAATGCATTTTGGGCCAGGCATCTATTAAAGATATTTGAATAGAGTAGTCTCACCTTACCTAAGGCCAGACAATAACAATTAAGCTGTATCCATTATTCCTGTCAAATCTTTCTTTTAAAAAAATAAACTTTGACACTATTCTCCAGTTCTGCCATGTACATGACTTTCCAGAGAGAGAAATAGAAAAAAAGGAAATGTCAAATACAGATTTTAGAAATCCCTTCTGTCTTTTGACAGTAATATTTCCAGTTTACAAGTTAATTGTGGATAATCACCCACTAAGTGACTTTTCACATCTCCCTATGAACCTTGCAATGTTGAGTGTTAGCAAATGCCAGACCGTGGCTTAAAGCCATCCTCTCTAGACCTTTCCATATACACCAGATTTCCAGAACACTTGCACATTTCTTCCACATCAATTAATAGCTAAATGCTTTCAAATTCCATCAGTCACCACCAGCTTGATGCACTGTATGATTTAATAGCAATGCACTTGCCAAGAACATACTAGAGCCCTTCCTCTTTAAAACTTTAATTTTTCTGCATCAAAAGCTCACTGTCACATATCCAGCCAATGATGGCATTTTTTATTTTTAAAAAAGTAAATTAATACCCCAGTGTAAATTATACAGCAGGGAAAGCAGCCAGACTTCCTAATAAATAAAACTTAAAATTTCTACCACAACGCAGATCCCAGTAAAACTTGAATTTTCTTTCAGACAAAAAAGTTGGCATACAAAATTCTAAAACGCTGAACCAAAATCTTCCTTATCTCTATCCTATCAACACAACAATCATCATCATCATCATTATAAAGCAGATAATTATTTTGAAAACTAAAGCTAAATCCGCATACCTGTTGCTTATTCTACGGAAGTTAAGTTTCCCAATATATAAATATATATATCCAGTTAGTTCCAGCTCCCGTCTGGGCTCCTATCTCCTCTCCTGTCTCACCCTAGTATGGTCTCAGAGGAACCAACACCTAGACTCTGTCTGCTTCAGTACTCTACAATGACTTCATTATGCACACATGAAGCCACACTTTTCAGGGGGGCATCTCAAAAGTCACAGAGCACAGTGCAATTTTGGCTCTGGCCTGAAGACTGAAGCCATTTCCTCTGCCAGCAGACCCATATGGTATTTACAAAGGGTGCTTTCAACACTACTGAAAGCAACTAAGAGACTTTAATCTTGTGAGCAGTACTGTAACCTGAGGACACATCTGTTGAAACCTCTATATCCAATTATCATTTGTATTGTTATATATGAGACTTTTATTGGCAGAACAACAAAATACTGAACATAGGTTTATGCCATATTTCTAAAACAACTCTCCAATTCCCTTTCTTCAATCTAAATTAATTTGACACAAAATTAAAGTAAGATATATATAAATATAATGTGATCTGCCTCAAAGGCAACATTTCACATAAATAGAGTACATCAAAGAAGTCTTTCATCACTGAGGATACTCTCAAATGAAATCAGAAACCCTTAGCAGGCAATGTGATACAATGACCACTAATTTGACTGATTAAGTTTTTACACCCCCATTTTATCTTTTTGTCTCTCTGCATTAAATAAAGCAGCAAAGCATAGGAAAATACACAAATTGAATCATATTGTAAGCTGTCTGGAAAGAGTGCCATCGAAGATTAATTATAGAAAACATGGAATTATGCTCATGTTAAACCAAGAAAGCCAAGGCATAGCCAAGGGTGTGAGAGAAAGGGGGGGAGGGGGTGCAAACACCACCCTAACCAGGAGGCCAAGAATTACAATGGGGCAGGTAGAAATAAAACAAGAAAAATGGGGTGGCAGTCTCTCTCCATGACAGAATCAAGGCTATGCCTCTAGAGAGGAAAATTCAAAGTCTTCCTGTCTTTCCTACTTTTTGTTCTCTATACACCACACATTCTTTCTAATCTGAATACTGCGACAGATTTAATTCATGTCACAAAGAAATACACAGATATCATTTTACAAATATTCATTTCTTCTAAACATTAAAAGCAAACCGGGCCTATTCTGAATTACTCAAGCTGAACTGATTAAAATATAGTAACTTACAATTACGATACGGATGATATCAAACACCAGTTCCTTGCTGCTTACAATGTAAACTTAGGTGTTTAAAAAAAGGAAATGTTGTCTTAACTACCTTTGCCACAGTGTACTATTACAAAAAAGTCTCCCTGCGGCACAAAAACAGAAAACTTGCATAATGATGAAAAGTGACACACACACCCCTTTATAAAGTTATTTTGTGACAGAAATTGCTTTGAACCTTAAATATCCACCTCACTACTTGAAATAAAACAATTAAAAGGAAATACCACTACCTTCTTTAGATTATTTTCACAATTTGGCAATAGATTTGAGACTTTTTACTTAAACTAGTAATAAATAAAAGTGTATGTGAAAAAATAATGTCTCAGGGTAAAATGTAAATTCTTAAATAATCTAACATCAGTGAACTATCCCAGCCCAACAACCCATTCAAATTCATACAAGAAGACATTAATCATAATTGAGAGAAATTTTCTAGACAATAGGTAGCCCTGTATACCATGCAAAATGGGTTAAACTTTTTTGTAAAAATGTTACTGAAACTGACACTCACTGCAATATTTATTCACAAAAACAATCCAGAGTTTATTTATCTGAGCTAATACTTTTTCTGTCTGCTTTGTAAGCAGGGTTAATGCCGTGATATAGCAAGGTTTTGTATATTTTACAAAACTGAAGATTGTGACAGAAAATGCAATTAAAATTTCTCTTATAATGTAAAGATATGCACATTTCAGCTTTATTATTAAAAGAGAAAGACATAATGGCAATGAGTGTATATGGAATGCAAACATCACTGTGAAATTATTTTCAAAAGAACTATTTTCATATATTTTTTTGCATATAATCAAATTGCTTACCTACACAATGCAAAATGAAAGCTTATGTTATCTTTTGACATTGTTAGACCAGCTACATGCATTTACTCAGTTTGTACCACTTTTTAGGTTATATATGCAACTGTGGCACGAAAACAAAGGTATTGTCCTTTTAGAAAAATTTTTATTCGTACTTTCTACATGTCTGATCACTGGTGTATCTCACTTGAATTACGCGCCAACCGCTTTTTATAGTACAGGGTCACATGACCCACGTGACACAAAAAGGGCGCTGACACCAGCTATACATATTCATTACACCTATTTATACATGTACATTAGCTATTTATAATAAGGTACTTATATTATGGTAGGCTACAATTAATATACTATTACATATTTATATATACATGTGAATACGTGTACCCTATTACATATATCTCATACTGCCCAAGAAGATTCGATAAATAAAGAAAATCTGAACGAGTCAGAGAGAAATGCAAATGATCGGACCATAATACTCAGCAAGTTAGCACAGTAAATTGAAGGGAGTCGCAAATGACGTTTGCAAGAAACAACTCATCCAGCCACCAGAATTATTACTGCTACTACTGTAACAGTGTTCATGAGTTAATTTTGTTTTTGTTTAATTACTCTTCTTCTGTTATCTTTTATTTCTTTTTCGACAAAAGAACATTCCAAGTAATGTACTAATATTAATAATGTCACGACTACCGACCATGTGTCCGACTTTTTGCACAATTTCTGTTTCCTTTAAATGCTCTATTCTTACCTGCTGTATTCCTTTTAGTAGTCAGCAAATGCTTCTTCTTCTCATTGATTGCCCAGCAGTATTACCAAATGTAGAACTTCAGTCCTCTACGCTGAAAATAGCTAAAATCGCCCCCTTCGCCCCGCCGGTCAGCTGGTCTAAATTTCCCGCAACGAGAGGTGGCACTGCAGTCACTTCAAAAACCTGTGGCTTCTGCTGGCCACGTCATTGCGATAGTTGTGATAGAATAGAAGTGCATTGTATCTGAAAATGCGATAGTTGTGATAGAGGTGACCATAGGTGCTTCTTAATATGATTGTTGTCTTAGAACTTAGAAGTGAATATAATTTAAAATGCACTAATTTATTTTATCAAGATCTATGTATAATTCCTTGTTCGAATTAATATCATCAAAATTTCTGCTAGATTTTTCAAATTGGCCCTCTTCTTTTCTATGTGCTTGAAAAGCAGTGTTTGGTGTAATGGTATTATGAGTTGGATATAATGTGAGGTGTTTACTGCCAATATTACAAGTACCTTGTATACATCACGAGTCAGGCACGGCTCTAAATTCAAAAAATGTCTGCTGGCCGATGATCATACAGTATGCTTTTTTATTTATGCCAGATATCAATGAACAAAACCATTCCTGTGAGCAAGCTATAGAAATAGGCGCTATTTCATATAGATGGGTCTATACGAAGTTAACTTTCAGTTCACTCTTTTTACCCTTCGCCCAAGTTTCACCAGATTGCACAGAAAAGCACTTTTGAGTTTTGATTAATGCTATAGCAGGCTGAACCATAATTATATTAAAAAATAAAAATTAATAAGACATCAGATTTAATTTCACTTCAAATTTATTACCAATTGCATTAAGTCACAAAACAGGAAAAGCAAAGACCTGATGTAACTCATAAATCTTCAGCAAATAGTAGTAACCTTGTGCAAAATAAAGATGAAAAACTTTACTTGGCAAAACTGAAAACAAATCAACTTGGATACATGGTTTCTCTAAATAGTATATACAACTTTGGTTTAATTTGATTCCTGAATAATTGTAATTAATGAGTAATATTATCAACACTCAACCCTTTTCATTTTACTTTATGACTATCTTTTATCCTGTTCTATATATGTGTGCCACATACTCTTTTTAATCCAAATCAAATTTTATAACTTGAGAAACTTTCTTGGTTGGTTGAATGATATCTAAAACAGTATATAATAAACTACACTACAATCAACTTATAACAGCAGTCTATGAAACATTCTATTTAAATGCAATTTTAAAAGCAATCAGTAATATGGACACAATTTATACTCACCCATTCCCCCTCAAAAAAAAAAATTTTTTTCTTCATTTACATTCTTAAAATTTTGGTTAGGGCAACTTTACAGTTAAATCTTAACAACAGCATAAACTATGTTAAAACCTATATTTCCCCCCATTTAAGACCCCTGCAAATTTCCTCACTGCAGTGACAAAAATGATAAAGTTACATGCCTAACCCACTCTTTATAAACGACTGTTCATGCTAATATAAACCTATTTGTTGACAAAAAAGGTGCCAATATTTCAATATTAAGTCATTTCCCCTTTCATGACTGAAAGTAATGCACTTGACGAATGCCTTAATTCTTAATTTCTGTAATATGGCCATGGACTTAAAAGATCTTCAACATATAAAAAACAGGATTTACCTTTTAATTTCAAACACAATAATATTTAGCACAAGATGAATTATAGTGTGACAGTCTTAAAATCAATGTGGAAAATATTCTAAATACAAAAGGGATGAAGAATCATAGTTCAATAAAATATGTTTTAGGAAGAAGTCATGATGAGATGTTTAGAAAACTAGGAATATCTGAGTATTGTATACTTCTGTCACTACACACACAAAACTCTAAACTAGCATGCTGACACTTGTTTTTTTTTTTTTCCAAGATGAAATTTGGTTGCTCATTGACCAGTATCAACAAACGAGGAAAGAAACGAGGAAAGCATCCACTTGCAAATTCTAACCAAACAATAAAAACAACTAGACAAGTTTTGTTACCAAGGTATGGGGATATATCTCCATTATGTTTGCATTTTAACCATTTCTGGATTAATATCATGACATTTGCTGCCTGCTTCAATACAGACAGGTACATCCATATTAACAATTACCTCACTGATAAGGTACACATTAATATTCTAACAGGAAAAATAAAACCACTAACATATCAACATAAACTATGAAAGAGAGTTTGTTCCTGAGGAAAATATTGCAGAACGAGACTTGGGTGTTTAATACATGAAAATATAATGTATAAGAAGCAATTTGCTCAGAAAATCCTCTTAGATCAGACTTCATGGATGCATTTCATGCTAAATGTGCACATGACATATTAGTTATCCATGCATTGGTTATATAATGTACTATCACACTTTGTGAATACAAGAAAAAAGGAAACTAAAATATCATTGGTATTTCAATGGATTGTATATATTTGTAACCACAATTTGAGCACTAGGATATAAGGGATTTTCCTTTTCACTTGCACCAACTTAATCACAGGCTTGGTGTCAATTTTAAATGAATGTGCCATCCAAATGTTTGTTCAAGATAATAATGTGATCCCCCTAAAAGAACATCTATTTTGTTCAGACTTTAATACAAACTTTAAAGGAGATGGCTACAGAAATCTTCCAGAAAATGTAATAACAAACATGTTATAAATAACAAATATTGTTAAAGATGTGTTAATAGGCTACTGGTAATGATGAAGAACCTCTACTGATTTTATTTTACCTTTTTAAAAATGTCCTTTTATAATGTTAAAACCAAAGCAGTCAATTTTTACCAAATTCAAACACCCATGGTTCTGCTCCACTTTGATATAAACAGTACCATAATTAAACTAACTTAACTTAACACAGTGACCTATGATCAGTACTGGACCCAGGAACAAAGGGCTACTCAGAAAGATATGAACTAAAAAATAATATGTAGCTGCCATGAAATCATTCTTTAAATTCACCATTGTTAAATGCTGCATGCTTTGTGTCCATTTTAATGCTGTATGGATCTTTCTGCAATTTTTTAAAGTATGCTACCAACAAAGTATTCCTCTTTCCTTATTAAAATGATTCTTACTTTCTTTGCTGGTTGGATAGTTGTGAGAAATGCTGTTGGACAGACATTTACTGCAAATCTTCCCCACCATGTTATTTCTGACAATTGAAATATTGTCACAAAAATCCTTGAGAAAATTATCTTAAAGCAACAAGGCAGGTGCCATCACTTAATAGAAAATATAAGAAAACATTTGCATGTTTCGTTCACATTATTTGCATTCATATTTCTTCAAACATGATGACTTACACATTCTGGATTACAACTTGAAATTGGCATCAGTCTAACTTTGCAAATATTAAGTAGTAATTGAAATTTTGTTGCAAATCCTTGATACTCTGTTAAGAGAGATGCACCTTAACAGGCAAACCACACAAAAATATGATCAAACAATGAAAAGATCTAAAAACCATGTGCAAAATATCACTGGAATGAAAAACTGCATTGATATCTGCACTGATAAGAGAATCCGTTATTATATAAGTAATACCAAATTAAATGTCATTTCCCATATTGTCTTACATTATACATTTTCACAAAGTGTTGTAATTGTCTACTGGCTGTTCTTTTTAAATGTTTGGAAAAGAGGTGAAATGAACTGATTTTATTTCAACGTATATAAAAATGGGAATGTCTATAAAAAATGAAAAGAAAAAGTCGTAATCTATTGACAATGTTTTTACCAGATAACATTTCATACCATTGTTAATCTGCTCACTGTTGTAACCAACCAAAGCCAAATTTATGGCTCTCATAATGTTATGACACCTTTTATAATATCAAGGTATATATAGCAATTTTGCTACCCTTTCTTGCATCATATACAACCTAACAAATCTCAGAACACAATCCTCGTTTAGACATTAGATAATTAAAAAAAAAAAAAAAAGAAAAATGAGACATGTATCTTCCATAAAAATCAACATTTTTAGATGTATATCCCTAAAAAAGACCTACCAGCAATGGTTTTGCTTTGGGACTTGGGTCTTATAGCTGTTTGCGTACAGTTCCTTGAGTGGGGATCCATGACAGGATGAAAACTTATGTAGCAATATGACCTAAGTATACAGAAAATTTACAACATTTTCAACATTTGGTAAGTTTCATTATTTAAAGCTACAATGAACTGTCGACAAAATGCTCACAGACATCTACAACTACTACAGAGTGACCACCTCTAATGTAACACACTACGTGGAAGTAAAACACAATTCTATTTCAATGAAGCTAATCTTCTTGGTCCTCTTCCCGTCTTCAACTCCAGTCTTTATCAATTAATGCAACCTTTTCATTAAACTTCTGTGAAGTAAGTTTCTTTCTCAATATCCAAATACCTAAAGATGAATGGAGCAGTATAGACAACATTGAAAGCAATGACATAGTACGTGATGTATTTATATGGCAGTTCAACAATCAGTTTCTGTTTGTTCTGCATATGGTCCTTTTTGTCATAGCCCAGAATGTGGCACAGAAGGTGGTACGTCAGAGCTTTCATGATGACGCGTGTGCTGAACAGAATCACCAGACCCAGCACCATTCGGCAAGACATCTTCGCAAACCAGATGTGGTCTGGGGTTTTGACCATATAAGGAGGTGCCCCAGCCTCATTGTGGTAATTCCCCTGTTGGATATTCAGCCAGGATCCCATGGCAACACCAGCCAAAACCCCCAGGATCAGGGTGGTGTCCCCCCGGGCGGTGCTCCACTTGTCTAGTGTTGGGTAGAAGACACACATTAAAAGTAACACAACTCCCATGATGAGAGGTCCGTAAGGATGGTAGACCTGGAACTCATCTATGATATCCAGCAGAGGCCACATCACAGCCAAGATGACCAGAGCAAAGACCACACCGGCTAGCAAGTCCTGAAACCATACAAATACAGGATGAAAGTTTAAAGAAAACAAAATCATGTTGAAGCAGAAGAGAAACCAAATCCAAGTTCTGTTTTCATTCAACTGTATGATTCCCTAGAACTTCAGAACAAAAATGAATTTGTTGTTATGGAAATTAACATGATCAAGGGGCCATTGATTTAATGCCTGTCTGCCTGTGAGGACCATGATAGGTTCACTTAAAAGAAACAACTGAGAGACTCTGCTATCTCTGTATTCTGGACATCTTAAAAGAAGTATTAATCCTTCTTCAGCCTGAAATATTCCCTGTGGGAAAAGACCTCAGGAGACTTTTCTCTGACGGCACAAATGAATATTTAACGTGTGAATCAATAACATGATAAGGGGTGGGGTTTATCTAAATATATTAATTTACATGGTAGAACCAGGCTGATGCTAACATTAAACATCAATAAATGCCATTCAAAGTTTACAATGGTTGAAGAAAATAAAAACATTTTAAGAAAGCTTGCCAGTTCATCACCCTTCCCACTTAAAATCTTGAACTGGCTCGAAAAATTCAGTAATTTAGCAACAAGAAAATTCATGCTTAATTCATATATTATTATTATTTTAATTATTATTATTATCTTTTTTTTTTTTTTTAGATTTCTCACTAGTACTGATTTGGTTTAAAATTCTGATTTGGCTAGGAATATTCAGCTATTGGCTAAAAGAAATTTCAATCTAGAACAAGCCCAGATATTGTTACTTACCAATAGTGTGTGCATTCCCATGTACACCCTGCTTAGACACACTGTCCCACACCACAGGATGGCCAATACAAGTCCAAGATAAAATGGATACTGAAATAAGACAACATTAAATGTGAAAGCAGGTATGTTATGGATAGCTTAAAAATGAGCCATCTAAGACCCCTTTCAGAATGGATGATCCGAGTTATGGCTGACCACATTTTAAAAGCATTGCCGCTGATCCCTGATGGTCTCCCCACCTCCACACGAGCCATCACAAAATTACTCGGATCATCCATTCTAAATGGAGCCTAAGGGTGGGTACTGATTCACCAGCATAATGCACTGTGCAGGGGATTCTCGCTAAAGTGCAATCAGTGGAATTAGTTCAATCAGCACACAATGGTACATTACCCCCTAGCTGCTGAAGGAGGTGTGTCAGACAATTAAGGTGATTCTCCTGATTGCACTTTTTAAAGAATAATGACAACAATATGCCATTTTTTGACAAAAAAAAAANCAAGTCTGGTAGTTGGGTAGGCCTGAACATGAGCCAAAACTTTTTAAATATTACAGTATTTTAATAAACCAAAACTATCTGTCTACGCAGGAAAGCAAATGTAATGTATTACTGATTGTTTTAATGAACCATCTCAGAATCTTTCCCTGTTGACAGTAATATGATTTTTCTTAATTGACAACAATAAATTGTTATTTTTCCCTAGCAAGAGCAAGACATACTACAATGGTGCAGTTACAGGTAACTACAAAGACAGTTCCAGGAATTTACTCAATATTTTGTTTCAGTATAGATTCTTCAATCAACAGTTGCAATACATATTTTGTCTGCTAACCACTGTTTTCCTATAAATATAAGATATCTTATAATCTTCTGAGAGATAATGCCATAAGTTAAATAAACCACAATTTCATGATACAGTCCAAAAAACACTTATAAATACACTTGTTTCATAGTGACTGTAAAACCATTTGTATGAGGAACTCATGACGTGAATTAATGTAGAAAAATTGTTCCCTTGCTGCCTGTAAAACTAGTGCACACCTGATCTAGCAGATTTTTTTCTTGTACTCATCTTCTGATTGTTTCAGTACCTATCTGCCAAGGCTCTATTCCCATAGATTTTAGATCGATCTATCCCCGCAGGGAGTCTCACTAGATTACTTTCAGATAATCTGACTTAAATGTCCGTCCCGCCTACTACAAGCTGTAAGAGGGTAACTTTCGTGTCCGCCCGGCTGACAGCTATTTAGCGTGAACCCCCAGGGAGTTAGGTCGATCTAATCTATGGAAATGGGGTGCAAGACTCACACTAGGGATATAAAGTTCTTTCCACAAGGATTCTAGACACTTCCCTACCTTCTCATTAAAGATAAAATGCTCTAAACTAAAAAAAAAAGAATTAGGAAAACTACTGCCATTGCCTTTTTCCAAGGGCAAAACAGCACAATGCACTACAGCTATCCGATATTCCAAGTGGAATATGAAAATATATCATCAATCACAAAAAGAAACCTGCTTTCCTGTACATATCAAATTTATTCAGACCTGTTTTGCCTTTCTTTATCAGACAATATAAAGGCCATCAATGCTCTAGAAATTTGTGACCCTATTTGTAGTTTAAAATTTACTTCGGGTGCACCTAGAGATAAATCATAAAATAAGTTAATAATGGTATCATTTTACAAGACACAATGCACATGGAGTAGTGACAGCTTAACTTAGTCCTAATATTTCAACAGTATGCATGATTTCTGACCATGATTTGATATTTTCATATATGTATTCTAATAAAAACAAATCCAATTATGGTAGTCTTAGGGCAGTTCTAATCTCTTAAAGTATGTGTTAAACAATATTGTCCTATAAAGTAAAATCATTAGCTGACCTTGATACATTTTACTTTACAGTCCAATCAGAACAAAGAAGCTATAGCTGAAAGTAAAAAATGTAATTGTTGTAGACGCTCCCTGCTTTTTCTTTGTAACTGTTTGTGTGGCCTGACACTCAATTCTGTAAAATTACAGAAAATTTATGCCCACAATCAGGCTGAATGGATGGTTTGGGTTTTCAAAATCTGGTTAAACTGGATCTTCAACAACAACATAAAAGGCATTATTACAAGCAATTAGGGACTATTATCATCTGTATAATTACTGCCCATGTAATTAAATAACAACAGCGAGAGGCATAAGCCATTTAACATCAAATGATATGGGTAAGAGAGGGAACAGTAAATATCTAGGCACTGAACTAGTATATACTTTATTGACATTATTCTGTCCCCGCCATTTTCAGCAACTGGATATTTAGCCACATGGAGATTTTTAAAAAATTAATGAACAACATGCATTGTAATTATAATGTTTAAGCACAACAATATTTACATGGCACCATTTCTTCAACTCCTCTTCACTAAACCAAGTCCAACTTTTTGCTATTTGTTTTGTCTACCCTTCCAAACCAAATATAAATCTCAAATAAAAACCTATTCTGTACTGATGCTTATATGCACACTAGTGATAATTCACTTTTAAAAGATTCATGCTGATGGTAAATACTAAGTCATCTAAGTACACCATGTGCATATTTTTTCTAGCATTACTAACAGATTTTTTCACGATGATAGTGTGCAGATATAACAAAATCATTCAGATAAAGAAATAAAGGCCTTATATCATCAAACTTAAATACTCAATGCCCCCCTTCCAATGTGTACTTAACATGCATCAACATTTAGGACTCCGAAACACTCCAAACAATTAAAAAAACTAGTATATGCAAGCATATTTTCAAGGCATCTATTTTCACTAAAAAAAGGGATATCTCACTAAAAAAGGGGATATCAACAGTCTTGGCTTATTGAACAAAATCTTCTTTCCAATATTTTCTAGGTAATACTGGCATGAACCAGAAGTTATCCCTGAGGGAATAAGCTGAATGGTATCCATGGATTCCCAGATCAATCCCATATGTACGTAGGAAGTTAAGAATAACTCAACACCGGCTGATCATGGGGGAGGTTTTAACCCAAGAGATTTTTTTCCTTGTTCCAATTTTAATGGCAGTAAACTGATAACAGCTCTAAGATCTGCCCACAGGTAAACTTATCTTGACAATAAAATACCTTCATACCTGAGTTCACTGTAGGTCAAAGGTTGAGTTCACACTAGTTTAGGCTATTATGTGGCTTTGAAGTTTCCATACAGGAAAAGTAACCAGTCTTAAAACAAGGTATCCAAGACAATTTATCTATACTAGTAATGATCTAAAAACAGAGATTTGTGAACTAGATGCTAAAGAATTAATAGAAAATCAAGTTGCATGTGCAGTTGTCATCAATAAACTTGAAACTGGTGCAAGTCGAGACTGATGTGAATTTAACTTACACGTAGGGCGTATTGGTTAGCAGTACCTACAAAGTAAAGAACTTTTCTCCTCTGGAAAATAGCATAGCAGGCCCGTAGCCAGGGGGGGTTCGGGGGTTCGAAAGAACCCCCCTTTTTGATGAAAAAAGGTCCACTCTGGGTAAAATTTGACATAAATACATGCCATGGGAATTTTTCGGTAAAAGGTCCACTTTTTCAGAAAAAGACACACCCCCCTTTGAAATTGCTGGCTACGGGCCTACATAGGGGTATAAATGAGAAGTAAACCATCATGCCCATCTTTCAAATAAATTCCTTCAAATAATGTATTAAAGAAAAAATACATGATCAAATATATTTTCTAATTGTCAAATTATTTTTTCTACTTGAAATTATCTATGGGAGCAGGATGATCATCTGTATCATGTTTGTAGCTTTTTACAATAACAGAATTTTCCCATTTCTAAACACAATTTAGCTTCTCATAAGTTCCTGAACAAATTCCTTGGTCAGTAAGGTGTTAGCACAATCCTAGACAGTATCGAATTATGAAAAAAAAAAAAAAGACTTTTGGGTAACATAAAACATGTAGTTAGTAAAAAGAATCAGACTTTGAGTTCATTACTTACATAATAGGTATTTTAATAAAGAATTTCCTAATTATACTTATCTTACAATCTTTTCACCTTCAACTAGAACTGCAATGATTCATGTTTGTTTGGACTTCACACATGTAGTCCAATCTAGTCATAATAAGTGATCTGGTAGTAAATGATTACTTAAAATGTAAAGTTTCTTATTGGTTTCAGCCCTTCAGTTCACCTATGCATTGTTTGAGGGTTGTTCTGGTGCATGCTATCCTTGAGATACCCCCACAGATAAAAATCTGGGAGGTTCAAGTCTGGTGAGAGACGTGCCAATGTCACATTCCCTACTGATCAGTCACTACCCAACAAAACAACAGTAACAATTTATAACTAATGTTCACATTCAATGCTTGATTAAATATATTTTAAAAAGAGAAGGGAACAGGATAATAATACTTAGCCAAAAAAAATTTGAAATAACAGTCAAAGCAGTACAAAACTAGAGAAATAATAATATAAGCAAAACAATGCAAACCCCTTCAGTATGTTATGATTGAGCATATATATTTCCAAATCAATATGTGTATCTTATGTGAGATGCATTTATTTTTGTAGATTATAATAAATGCTAGGGTTCTTTTTTCTTATACTCCTTCAGAATATATAGACACTAGAATATTTCATTCCGTAAACTAGCTATGTAGCAGCAAAGCTCAGATCTTAGGTTTTTCTATTACTTGCACTGCTATTGTACTTTATTACATATTGCAATGATTGTAACCCTACTTCTTATGCAATATCTTTTTTTAACCATCACCATGGGTTGTTTGGTGCCTGCTCATATCAGGTTTTAATCAAATGAGTTGTTGACATACACATTTTCTTGACATAGATCAACTATCTGTACTTTGACTCAGAACATGGGTTATCAACCAGGCGGTCAAAGAGTGTATAATAAGATCATTGCTACTAACTTGAGTAAATCTTGAAGAAAAGGGGATGTTACCATTTACCAAGGCCGCAGTTATTATTCTTTGGACATTTTTGCTGAGGTGACCCTGTAACTTTTTGCCAGATGAAAGCAATTAAATCTGCACGCGTGCAGATGGAATTGTACCCACTCTACAGGAGCTCAGTGGGAGCTGGGCTTCACTCCATGTGATTAACGCTCATTATGCAACCTGTCTTGTCTTTTCTGTCTGCTGAAAACACCCTGAAGTAACAAGCTATTGATAACGGACTGTTTTTGTTGTCACAGATGAGCGATTCACTGTTTTGATTTTTGTCAAACAGACTTGACAGGGACTTGCTAAGGGACAGTGCCTGAGTAGTTATTCAAACAATTACCAACAGACTAATCATCCTTGAGATATCATCAAAGGGTCACAGTACAGAGATTGGTCATCTATTTAAACAGAGACATATCTGTTAATATCTAGTGAAAAATCAATCTGTGGCCCTGGTAGAGGGTAGGGAGGTGTAGCCAAAATGGTGCTTGTAAAAAAAAAAAAATAACAAAATAAATCAACTGCATGTGTCTTTGATTCTATTCTATACTTAAAAGCTAAAATAGAAAAAAAAGCATTAACCAACTGGTGCCAGAACACTTTTAAACAGGACCACCACGATGGTTTTATGGTTTTATAAATCAAAGGCAATTCAACAAAAACAACTTATATAAAAACGTGGTCTCTGGCATTCAGATTTTACATTTTTATATTCATGATGTTAAATTCTAGACCCAGATTAAGGTGTCAAAAAGACCATTGCAAGGCACTCTTAGGGCACATTCCCATAGATTTTAGATCGATCTATCCCCGTGGGGAGTCTCACAAGTGTACTGTCAGATAATCCGGCTTAAATGTCCGTCCCGCCTACTACAAGCTGTAAGGGGATAATTAACTTTCGTGCCCGCTCGGTTGACAGCTATTAAGCGTAAACCCCCAGGGAGTTAGGTCGATCTAGTTGGATCGATCTAATCTCTGGAAATGGGGTCTTATTCAAGAGCAGAATTATAAAACCTTCCAAATATTTCCCCAACTCGAAATACAAGCGTCAAACACCATTCAAAATCAAGGATTACTGCTGAATCACAAATCCATTAATTTATTGGTGCAACTATTCACCATCCACTGAAGACATTAATTCACATAATCCCACCTCCACAAAAAGTGGTAGCCATGCGGGATGCAAAACTGCATCAACCACCTCTAGAAAAAAATCCTTACTATAAACACCATTTTCAGATTTGTTTATATTTGACAGGTGCAGGTGAGAAACAAAAGGCAATGTGTGAAAAAGAAAGCTTTGGCTCATAAAGAAGTGATCAGTCTTTACTGAAAATAAATGTTATTAATAATAATGTTAAATATTAGAAGTAACAGAGAATGTTGCCTTATTGCTTCACAACTTACAGTGTATCTCTCCACTGTCAGGACCAGCAGTGTGATTGGGAATGCTATCCCAACCATCGCATGTGTTGACGGCATGCCATACTCCAAATGATATCTCCTGTCCATTCTGATAACAGGTGGGGAAGCTGGACGGGGGATCCTAAACACATCTTTTGTAGCTTGACCTATGTACATAATAATGCCCCATATTAAAATCAACCTTCGGATTACAAAACCGTCCACATTCCAGAACCACGCCGGAAAGAATGCAGCGTAGAATAATTCATTCCCTACACCAGTCCCACAAGAGAAGAGATAAAAAAGCAGTTTGTTACTGACGGTATAATGTGTAAGTTCCCGCTCGTGAGAGTGCACTCTATTATTCACTTGTGAACCCCCCTCCTCCTCTTCCTCTTCCATTTCTGTCACACCTTCCTCACTCTCAGAGCTGCTCATTTCCTCATTATCGTCCTCGACCTTTTCTATTGCCTGTACTTTAGGAGAACGAGGGACTCGCCTGTTCCTGAGATTGTAAGCATAACCATTCCGCTGCAAGTTGTTATTGTCATTTTTAGTCCGATGGACATCGCCATTTTGACCATACCCTTCCTTCGAGACCACACCACATAGCCGCTGAAAGTCAGCGACTAACTGCGGATCCATCAAATACTCAATTATACTTTTGACCTTTTCCATCTCAAAACTGGCCAAAATGTAAATCACAGTTGTAAAGAATGAGTTTTTATGCTCTGGACGACGAGTTTATAAGTGAATCACCGGCACACCTTCGACCCTCTTGGTGATGTGGTCACATGACAAAGCGACCTTGAACTTAATCGAGAACGAGTTCACTTGTTAATTTAATCTACTGGTATATATTATCTCCCCTGCCCCTGAACTTGCACAATACAAATATTACTTACTGTTAAAGGGTATGCTATCTATATCTTCAATAAGGCTAGGTTCAACCACAGATGAATTATAACCTGATGCCCTCGCTCTTTTTGCACGCGAAAGAGTTCACGGGACTGGTTAAAAAATGGGGGGGGGGGGGGGGGGGCGTTTGTCAAGTGCTTACGAAATGTTTAGGAACAGCTGAGAAGGCGACACACCAAACAATGCTCACAAGCAAATTCGTCGTCCTTGAAAAACGTTCAATTTTAATCGGAAGTAATTAATTGTGAATCGCTGCAATTTTTTAATTATCGGTTTGTTGTGAAGTCTAATCGTACAACATATTTATCACACTGGGCAGTAGACATTAAGGCATTTCACAAGAAAAAGAACTATGACAAAAGACTAGAATAAAACGCGTGATTACTGCCTACATAATGCGTCTTTATAATTTAGATTAGGCGTAGATGAAGGGGTCTGCTTTTGTACCTGTTCCGAACAGAAATGGTTCCATGGTGTAATGGTTAGCACTCTGGACTCTGAATCCAGCGATCCGAGTTCAAATCTCGGTGGAACCTATCACGTTTTCTTTTGCACAAAGACTATCGTAGTGGACGAAACCTATAATTTTAATATTCATAACAAACTAGCAATTGACTTGCAAGGAAAGAGCAGAAACAGAAGAAAATTCAGATGGGTCGCTTTGACTTTTAGGCTATCTTTATAATTGATCCATACGCAACACGTAGGCCTACCCTCTGCAACTTAAGGTAAAGTGGGAAAAGAGTTAAAATTAACTTGAAGATATCTAAAAATAAATTCAGTCTATCATTTTTTCACAATTTTACTATGTAACTGGTACTTAAACGCCTTATACATGTATGGTAGACCGGGGCTAAACGCCCAGTCGGGGTCAAACGCCCACCCGCTTTTTTTCAGGTATTACGTATAAATACGCGTCTCGTGATGTTTTGTCCACTTCCGATTTCCAGCAGACTAATCCTCCATGACGGAGATGACCACAAACTAAAAAATAAGCATTTTATGATAATTTGTTCATTTTTGCCTTGTTTACTGTTATTTAGCCTTTTCCTTAACATCAGTGACACCACCTACCAAATGCACGAATTCAAAAAACTTTGTTGGTGACAGATAGGATGGTATCAGACCTCCATACAAGTTTCGATGAAGTCAGATTGTATAAAACTTTTCCCGCCGAATTTTGAAAAAATATACAAAATCTCACTTTGGGGCAAAACGCCCATGCTGATATGGGGCAAAACGCCTATAGTGGGCGTTTTGCCCCGATCACTGGGCGTTTTGCCCCCTTTCGTTTTTAAATAAAAAATAATTCTAAAAAGATGCGGAAGTGTTCTTTCATGCATGTTTTTTTATTGTATATCATCAGTTATAACACTTATATGGGGAAAAGCCAAAGCAAGTGGCTGTACTAGGAACTTAATTTTGGAAGTATCACAGTGCCCTGTCGTAAAGAGTAGAATTACAGCTCATTCTGAATAAATTTGATGGGTATTTTTATTATCTCAGTACCCCAAAATATTATATGTTGCTTTTAAAGGCTTACTAAGTTGACTCGTAGAAATATAATTTGATTTTATTTTGCTTTGTACAAAGGCGGGGCATAACGCCTATAGTTTGGGGCAAGACGCCCACGGTGGGCGTTTAGCCCCGTGGTGCGAGGCGTAATACCCCAGCCATGGGGCAAAAAGGCCGATTTTATAATTTACCTATTTTTTACCTATAAGGTTTTTCTTTTGTTTGTTTCCAAAAGTGTTAGTATCAGTTTGTAGTCTAGACAGCCCTTCATAGTTAACACCCACTTTGAACGGTCTATACCTTCAGCAGGGAAAATTGTGATGTTTCTTGCTTAAGGGGGGCGTTTAGCCCCGGTCTACCCCTACATAAGACCGACTGTATGTACAAACACGTGGATTTGTCAGTAAAATCAGGGCATTTAGGCCTATCCCATAAGTGGTAATATACCATGAAGTGGTAATATACTATGAAGTATCTTAACACACGTCAATAAGGGAGATTAATCTAACCCACCTGTTCATCAAATTAGGCTATATAGGCTATAATTTGCAAACTGCCTTACTGCTATGTGTGTTCTGCATTGATCAATTTCTCCGCTCTTCAGCAGAATCATCGTTAAATATTTGCCGGGTGACATGTAAGTAATCCCGGTGAACTATGTTGATGAGAAAAAATGTTGTGACTGATGTGACTTTTTACGGATTTCATTATCATTTAACAAGTTCAGAACACCCAATCGTCTACCAAATGTTGCTACTATACAAATTGCTCTTATGTTGATTTATTTTAAAAACGTGTATTTTTGCAGAATGGTTATTGAAGCTTATTGCTAATGTATACCTAATTCACATTTTCGGCAATAAAAACTAAACACACTGGACAATAGAAGTGTTACCCCTACTGAGCCAATACTATGGGGGAGATAAATGACTGTGGAATGATATGCTCCTGGTATCATTTTATGAACATCAAATTTCACAAAAAATCACAAAATGAGAATAAAATATACATTCTACCAAAATATGCAGTTTCAAGTCCAAAATTAGCACTTAATGGCATAGCCACGTGACCTAATAATAGGTGCCAGTCTACGAGGCAAGGATTCATATAATTGTCTGATGCGTTCAGGGCTTATGCTGGCCCAAGCATGAAACAATAAATATAACAGAGTTTCTCTGCTGGTTAGACGGGCATTTGTCAAAAGTTTTGACATATCACTCCACACATTTTCTGTTACGTTTGCATCCGGACTCTGGGCAGGCCACATCAACCTGCGAATGTCCTGTTGGTCAAACTAATCATCAACTGCTCTGGGCCTGTGACAAGGAGCATTGTCATCCAGGTGAACAAATGGATAATTCCTGTCACCAAACATGTTAGTAATAGATGGTAGCAAGCCTGACCCCAAAGCATCGATATATTTCCAGCGATTCATGTTTCCATCAGCCACTATCAATTCGCCCACGCCATGGATGCTGACGCAGCCCCACACCATGATGAATATGCTGCTCCGGGTCCGAAAATTCAGTGCATGTGGTTCAAATGCTTTACCAGCAGTTCGCCAGCATCGTACCCGTCTGTCATCAGAGGTCAGACCAAAGCGACACTCATCAGAAAAAATATATAAGACCAATTGTCATGGACTGTCCAGTTCCAGATCCTGTTGACCCTAGTTCACTCTACGTTGCCTGTTTTGTAACGATATAAGAGGTTTCAGTCTTGCTACCCTGCTGTACACTCTATGAGCATGTAACCGACGCCTAGCAATTTTCACAGACACATTCTTATGTGTGAAATTGTTCCACTGTCGTTGTCAGCTGACAAGCAATGTCGATCTTTGACAACCTGGACATCAAAATCAGTCGTCGGTCTTCACGGCCAGTAGTTTTTCTTGGACGACCCATCAGAGGCAATTTGTCTCTTGATCCAGTGTTTCTATACCGAGACCAGACCCTCTGCACGGTTCTGACTGAACAATTCAATTGTATCGATATTCTGACATTGGTTATATTCCGCCTCTTCAGGTTAATAACTTGCACCTATAACCGTTAGAGAATTGCCTGTATCTTGTCACAATGGAGGAAGACAGGAATAACATTTGCTGTACATGTACAAGACCAACAATACAATCCCATGGTATAGCGGTTTTATACTCATTAGTCACATTATAAGTAGACCAGGCATTATAAGTACCCAAGATCTGCCTACTTTTATTATTCTGAGTTAGGGGGTGACACTTCTATTGTCCAGTGTGCGTAAGTATAATAACTAAGCATAATATTTAAATTTAAATATCCCCATATATTTTCAACCAATCAGCAAAACTTATGAAACGTTCAGCAGAAGAAGCAATAATATAACAAAATATAACATTACAGTATTATATGTACTTGTGGGTGTTTTCAAACGACTTTACACATCTGTAAACGCATTAATAATTACTGCAATACTAGCAATGACAACTACAGCAATATGATCAAATATGTAAACGCGATGAACTGCAGTTTTAAACAATGTGTTTTTGTGTTTGAAAATACACTGTCGCTTTCTTGTGAAAATGTGAAAAATTAATCTATCAGTCAACACGGTAATGGCATATTACACCTGTAAGGTAAATGATAATGGATAACAAAATTACTATAATGGGTGAAAAATGGAGCGCTGATGTCAATTAAACGGCTTTTAAATNTTGTTCCACTGTCGTTGTCAGCTGACAAGCAATGTCGATCTTTGACAACCTGGACATCAAAATCAGTCGTCGGTCTTCACGGCCAGTAGTTTTTCTTGGACGACCCATCAGAGGCAATTTGTCTCTTGATCCAGTGTTTCTATACCGAGACCAGACCCTCTGCACGGTGCTGACTGAACAATTCAATTGTATCGATATTCTGACATTGGTTATATTCCGCCTCTTCAGGTTAATAACTTGCACCTATAACCGTTAGAGAATTGCCTGTATCTTGTTACAATGGAGGAAGACAGGAATAACATTTGCTGTACATGTACAAGACCAACGATACAATCCCATGGTATAGCGGTTTTATACTCATTAGTCACATTATAAGTAGACCAGGCATTATAAGTACCCAAGATCTGAAACGTTCAGCAGAAGAAGCAATAATATAACAAAATATAACATTACAGTATTATATGTACTTGTGGGAGTTTTCAAACGACTTTACACATCTGTAAACGCATTAATAATTACTGCAATACTAGCAATGACAACTACAGCAATATGATCAAATATGTAAACGCGATGAACTGCAGTTTTAAACAATGTGTTTTTGTGTTTGAAAATACACTGTCGCTTTCTTGTGAAAATGTGAAAAATTAATCTATCAGTCAACACGGTAATGGCATATTACACCTGTAAGGTA